AAATGAAAAACACAATCAGACTCCGAGCAACTCACTACAAAACTCTGCATTAATTACTCTGGTGCCTTTGATCTCAGAATCTAACCAAAAGTTGTGCAAACAAATACATGTGACAATGGCCATTATTTGCTTCTGTAGCTACCAAATTACAATAACTAATTTCATCCTCCTTCCTGTTTCCGTCACTTCAAAACGAGGTAACAAATTTAATAGCGCAAGACTCTGATCCTAGACAAGGGCACATCACTGGCCACTCTAGCACAAGTAGTCAGCATTAAGTTAGTAAAGGGGAGTATCCAAATTAAATTGAGCAACTCAGTTACTCAGTTAAGTTTTCCCAGGATCAGTGCTCCGAGAGCAAGCTCAAGGCCAGAGCCATGTATGTCTACTTACTGACGCATGGCTTAGGAAAGTAAAGATTTGGAAATGCTCCGTGCAAGCCTTTGTAGACTATTACTGCAGACAGATGAGTGGTGATCCCGAGTGAGAACAACTCTGGAGAAACGGAATGCCAGTGTAAGAGTCAGGGTAATTACACCTGCAGGTGTTTAACACTGTTCGGCCGTAACATGGAAGCATTCAAGACAGGAGCTTAGATTTAATTTGGAGACAAAACTGAGGAAGTTGAAGACTTATTACAAGGCAGTGCAACTTCAGCAGCTACATGCACCTAGGCCAAAAATGCCATAATAATATATTCGTATAACAGAAACCCCAGACCACATGAAAACTCCAGAGTAAGCAGATGACTAAGCTTCTAAATTGCACCTAAATGTAGACACACTCAATTTAGTTACTCAGACAAAACACAGAACGGATTAGTCTTGCAGGCTTTATCAACTGAGTAAGGTAAAGAATCCTTCAAAGTAAAAGACAAAACAAAGCAACAGCTAACCCAGGAGAACAATCCAATAAATAAGACTCTAAGCCACCAAGTATAAATTCATCAACAACTCAAACACGGCTAAATCCTCCAAAAAAACTTCTATACATATATAATGTGCTGAACTAGACATCAATGGAAGGCTCGTGCCTCATATTCAAAGAGAATGCAGATACTGACCTAGAAGACTGAGCAGTTTCTCCATGTCACTTGTTCCTTTCAGAGCTGAAGAACACAGCTGTCAAGTAGGTGGCTTTGATCTGCTCACTGCATTTATACATCATCTCAAGCTAAACTTGACTATCAGCATTATTAGTTGTTATAAAAAAATCACATGTATAATATTTTAGAGACATAGAAAACATTTCCACTGAATTACATAAATAATCACATATAAGACTGGAAGCACTGCTAAACAGACTCTGGTTAAAGGAGTTTGATAAAGGAGCTCTCTAAGGAACTTGTCAATAAGGTGCAAGATTTAAGATCTTTATGGATGCATTTACATATTCTTAATTTCTAAACCCTAACTTCTGCTTGCTTTATTACCATAAAATATCAGTTTAAATCAGCTTAAATAGAAGAATCACTGCACCCATCCCCAGAAGTTAACTATTATTAGTGTTCTGCACAACACAAAAGGTCTATAAACTCTTTTGGGTAGGTATCAAGTTACTTAACAAACGTGGGATGAAACGGTAAATACTGACAACCAGCCACAAGGTCAGCTGCACCACCCTGCTCTCGTGCAAGGTCCTCTGCAGAGCATCAGATCTTGCCATGTAGGGAAAAATCTCAGACCTAGTTCCATGTGCCTCTCTTCCTGTGTGAGATGTTGGCTATTCTGAGAGTTCCCTCTCTAGAGCAAAGATAATTGGAAGCAACCCCTGGAAGTGACAACTATTTGTTTCACCACTTATTTTCTCCAAACTGAACAATTTCTTTGTGCAGCAGTATCCCAGCGTTCACCTCTTTTTAGCTCTGCTCAAAACCGAACTGAGCAAAGCTTCAATCTCCACCACACAATGAAAGGACTATCACAGAATGTAATAACAAGGTAAACTGCAACATAAACCTAATACTACTTGCTATATTTGTAAAGCTGCCATTAAAAATGAAGCTGTGTAAAAAAAGTTTAGGATAGTTTTACAACTCTGTGATCACTGGTTAATTTGTGGATTCCCCTCAAGACAGGCATCACAGGTACAACAACTCTACAAAAACTTCTCCTTCAAAGCATTCAGGGAGCAAGAAAAGAGAGCATACATCACATTTCTCATGAAGAATCAGTAATCAACGCTCTGGTGATGCCCATTTCTTGGGTTATCAGGAGATCATCACAAGTTCATTTAATAGAACTTCACAATAAGACATATTTCCCCTTCTCCTCCAAGACATTTCCCATATTTTTCCTTGTTGTCTTCTCAGTTTTCCTGGGGTTTCATATTGACACAAATTTAAATGCTATTTACCTTGGCTCCGCTAGCCCAACCAACCTGTAACATCTGTACAAACATAATTCTAAAAGCTTAGTGGCAAAGTATTTTAAGTGGTGTCATTAGATCTCTTATTAATTAAAGAAAGCTTTCTGACTTGAACAGGTATGTGCACTTCTCAGCTCAAGAGGATGCAGAAAGAAGTGAAGAGCTTTTCATAGCACAGGAGTCTAAAAAGTAACCTGGTGTGTGACCATCAAGAAACTTATTAAAATCATTTTCCCAACATCTAAACATTTCTCTGAGATTAAAAATATCTTTGTCACTTCAGATATAATCAATTTGGGATTATTTATAAGTTAAACTAATTAAAGACTACACATCAACCCAGGGTTGTATCATGCAGAGTTGCAGGTTGCTGCGGACCACAGAGGAAAGTGAGATATTCCAGTATATCCAGCGTCTGGCTGGCAATCTACAAGCAGAACTTAGACTTGGAAGATTATAATGTTTTCCCTTTCTCTCACTGCTTACCTCGGAAAACTCAAGTTAGTGTAATTAATACAAGTCTGGATTTGACAGAATTGATACAAGCTTTAAGCACAGTAGTAACAAAGACGACAGTGAACACTATAAAACCAGTGAAAGGCTCATGACGGAAAATGAAGCCAGTATTTTAAAACATAGAATAATGTGTTACTACATGATCTGCCGCGTGCTATTTCCACAGGGTTTCAGTTTCTGAATGCTCCAATAATACACTATCTAAAATAAAAACAAAAAAAAAAAACAAAACCAAAAAGAAAAAAAAACCCACAGCTACATTTCATATTCATCAGTAGCTATCTCTGAGGTTAAATATTCAGACTGAATATTGTGAAACAGCTGCTATTGTTCTTCATGCAGCCATTCATCTACAATTTAAATCTGTAAACACCACCAAAAATCATCAGGACCAAGAGCACAGCGATTACACTCTTTCATTCTTTTTAACACTTAACATACAAAAGCCAAGAAACATCCTCTTCTAGCTTAGCATTCTTACAGCAGACAAGGAAAGTTAACATCTCTCTTAAGTATCCTCAAAAGTGAAAACCCAGTAACACAATTCAGTCCCCCTAAAGCTTAGGCAATAAATGAGCATTTTGAAACTCTTCTCGGGTGGCCACCTAACCTTGCATTTGTGAATTCAAACATTTAATGCTAGGCTTTGACTGTTAAAACCACCTGAACACACATCACCAATGAAGCATACAAAACATCTGTGTTATCACCCATACATACAGTGGTACACCACTTGAGTACTGGTTTGTTGTGGGGTTTGTTGTTTTGGGGTTGGGGTTTTTGCTGCCCATCAGTTGGAGAGAACACATAAGTTCAGTTTTCTGTAACACTGACATCTGAAAACTATTGTTCACCCAGCTGGGGTGAAAAGGAAGGCTGATACAGCCACAAAACATGAAAGATGTTAGAACAGCATAGTAATCTATCTGCATATTGCTATCATTTAAGAGCTCTCAGCACTATGAAATGAATTTAGCAGCAGTCAAGGATGCTATAAAATTCCATTCTGGGACACAACTTAATCATTACGAGGATTATGCACAAAAACTTTGTTTGCTTAGTAAGTTCAGCTAGCTTCCTTTGGTGGAGGAAAATTTGCTTGAGAGCTCGAAGTTTCCCTAGCTCTATGATCCAGAAGGAAATGAATTTGGAAGTCAGGCCATACAACCTACAGCACCTGTAAACAAGTTCAAAAACATGGTTCAGTTATCAGCTAACCCACATCAGGCACAAGTCACGCCGGAGCCCAGCGCAGAGCCTCTGAAGCTGTTTAACATTCCATTCTGGACATCTTCGTATCTAGCATTGGGCACTCTCTGAAACGTGCCATATGCTATGCATTAAGCAACGTCAGAGATGCCGTCCTCAGCACCAAACGAGTGCCAAAACTGCATCAGAGAACTGAAGTTTCCTTTTAGCTTTCTTCTAATAAACTTATTAAGCAAGGAAAAAAAGTCAACTAAAAAAACTCATAAAAAGTTATGATACAGGAGATTTCTATGCACACATTCATTACATTCTTCCGTGGGGAGTCTGGAAGTGCCCCACAACATTACTATCATAAACCCTGAAGCAGATTAGAAATTAAATAACCAGCTTCCCCACCGCAGTTTAAGACAGAAATTAGAGGCTGCTTTAATGGGACTTCTTATCCATTTGAATCAGTTCATGGCAGTAGTCGATTTTTCCATGGTGATGAAGTCACCATGCTGAGAAAGCAAGGAGAAACTGCTACCAGCCACCAGGTGAAAGCACCCAGGTTTCTAGTCACCTAGTAAATCGGTGCTTGCATTGACAATGATTACTGCTGGCAATGGTAACCGGTAGAGACCTGAACTCCATTAAGACAAGTGAATGCAGAAGCAATCAGATGGTAAATGCACCCCAAAAATAAAAGGTGAAACTCTCAAAGCAGCTGATTTTCTTAAAAGCCAGAACAGCAGCAGGAGAGCTGCAAGTTCGGGAAAGCTCCTCCCCTTCCCTCCCAAAAACATTAATCCATGTTTGATTACTGAAACTGCTGTTAGTAAGTATGTTGCACCGATAGGCAGGTGTTGAGAAACTCATCCCAGGTGCTTCCACAAGTACTTGCGAGCCCTGAAACCATTTCTACTTACAGTCTCTCTGCATTCCTGGGAATATCCCTCGGTACAGTTTTGAGTCCCAGTCCGTGACAATCCACGTTGGAAGCAATACATGTACATTTATGTGGGCATCCTCCGACAGGCATCCAACTCGCAGAGCTCCAAAAGCTCAGTATCATTCCAAGGCACAGAAACGCACTTCTTCCACCAGACAACATGGTTTCGTGATCGCTTCGGTGGGTATAAAAGTGTACGCAAGCAGCCGGCCCTTAAAGATGAAATGCCTCTAAGAAGAAAGGGAAAAGAAAACAAGAGGCTCTTAGTACAGCCCAAGGGAACCCACCACTGCCATCATCGCCGGAGCACCAGCAAACCTTCAAAGGCGCCTGAAAAGGTTACGTTAGGTGGAAGAAGGTGGGGAATTGCCTCTCGGGCTCAGGTTTCTTTCTGTTATCTACGAACGGTACCAGGAGGCAGATAGTTTAACAGAGCTGGAGCCAGATGCGTCCTCAGATGAAAGAGAAACCGGGAGCAGAGGTAAACACACACAAAACATCCCTCAGAAGCAATCTCCAAAGCAGCCTCCTCCGCTCCGCATCGCCCCACCTGGGCTGGGCAGGTGACCCTCAGCGGGGGTGACCGGCTGCCGGGGCACTGCCTCCCGCCGCTCGCTGCCGCTGCTGCTGCGGGCCCGCACCCCCGCGCTGGCGGCCGGCGGGGCCGGGGGGCGGCGCGGGGAGGCGGAGGGGCGGAGGCGGCGGCGCTCCCACCCGCTGCTGCGCTGGCCGCCGGCCGCCCGCGCCCCAGCGCTCTGCATGGCAGCGGGCGAACGCCCGCCGCGCCACCGCCCCCCCGCCCAAAACACCTCCCGCCGCGCCCATTGGCTGCCGCGGCCCTGACGTCACCAAACTGCCCAACTTTTGGAGCGCGGGAGGGGGGAGCCGCGGGTTCTGCGCCCCTGCCGTGCCCCGCAGGACGGGCAGCGACTCCCGGGGTGCGGGGAGCGCGCCCCGCCCTGCCCCGCCCCGGGCAGCGGCAGGCACCGTGCGGGCTGCGGCGCCCGGCGGGACGCGGGCTCGGGTTTGGGTTTCCCCTCCCGGGGAATTTACCTCCGCCTTTTGTTCCCGCGTTCCCACTCCCCGAGTACCCTCTGGCGGCGGCGCCGGGACCGGCCTGCACCTCCCGACCCGAGCCCCGGCCGGGCAGACACCGGGCGACCGAGCCCTGTCCCGCTGCGCTCCGAGCCTCGGCGCCTCCCGGGGGGAGCACCGGTGGCTTGCCCGGGCTCTGCGAGCGCGGAAGTTCAGCGCCAGGTTCCCCCTTCGGGAACTGTTCCTGGAAATAACGCCAAGGATGCCGCCTTCATGCGGTAATTCCGTTCTCAATCCATGGAGCTGGAGGCTCAGAACATTCGACCTACGTGTACTAAAAAGCACAAAAAATAATGCAGCATACCCTGGAAATGTGATAGCATTTCCAGATCGGTTGGAAAATTGCAAGGCCTGAGAGACACACAAAAAGGCTTTTGGGTTTTTTTTCAAGGTAAGTGTTAAGGCTCTAAAGTAAACCCATGGACAGGAAGGTTTTTCTTGTAGCACACCACACGCATACAGTGACCTCCTGACCCAGAATAAAGTTGGTGTAAGCACTTCACGAATACCTGTGTCTTCTATATACATAGTGCTTTATTTTGCACACTTACAAGCAGTTCCAAAGGCACTTTTATGCATTACAGACATGGGAACACAGGTAACCTGTTTATCTGTGTTACAAGCTCTTGGTCCACAACGATGAAGTCTAGTTGGGAAAAGGTTTCCTTTTCACAAGTCAACAAGGATCATGGCTAGCACGACCATGAAACCCTCAGAATGCCTCCAGCGATTTGACAAGCCTAAGTAACAGCAGAACTCAAGTTCCCAGGTTGTGCTCAAAATGTGTTCTCAGCTTTTTTCTCTGAACATACAGATTGAGCAGTTGAAATGAAGGGCTTGTAGGAGAACAACCACTATGAAATGCTCACTAAGATATGGATATGGCACACTGGTGAGCAGCGGCACATCTTAAATGCCTGTTCACTTGCGGCAACATTTGCTTCCTGCTTTGATTACTGGAATCTGTCATTACTGGAGACATTCCAGTGATTTTTCCCACACCAGTGAGGTGTCCCCTGTACAGCCAGGAAAGCAGCTACTTCTCAACTGCTCTCCCTAACAAGCAAAGGCTTGGTACTAGAGCAGTTCGCTAAGAACAAGAGCTCGCCAAGGAGCACATGCAAGACCACAAGTTATCCTTCACCTCTCCTGGTCTGAAAAGGCACTAAAGTGATCTTCTCATTTCACAGGGAATTACATACATGAGAAACTTCATTTTTATATAGAAACCATTTTGATCAAGCCTTAAGATTGCACCACTCACACAACCAGACCTCAGAGTTGAGATATGCAGCAGGCACTCAATGTGTGAAGGCTCATGACAAATGACCGGAGGTTTGAAAAAGCACAGAGGGACTGCGGCCACTTCATACTGCTTCAGAGAAGAGTAGTAAATACTCTTCTCCCTCCTCTCCAAATCTACAGAAACCACACATTTGAGAAGGTGTGTGTAATTCTGCCTGTATCCCCAGAGGAAACTTTCCTCTCCTGGGATGGGACAAGAGGCAGAAAAAGATCACTTTAACCTCGTGTGTTAACAGACACTGTATGGGGCAAAGCCACAGCACTACCCCTTCCTCCCCCCCCCCCCCCCCCAACATTGCAGCACTCCAAAGAGCAGCTATAGCTGTAGGAACTTGAACCATACCCCTCTCCTTAACCCTCTTGACAGAGCAGGAGCACAGACAGCTCCAGGCATGTCACTGCCACTCACTGCTATCTATTCTGAGGCAAGCACCCTCCATCAGTGCTAGTTTAGGAGAGATCAGCTCTTGAACAAGGGACAGCTGGTTCAGACCAGACACAGCAATCACAGTGCTTGTGAGGACAAAGGACACTGAAAGCTCCGAGGTCTCCTCCATACAGACTGGAGGTGAACATCCTTAGCTCAGTCAAGCAGAAAAAATACTTCTGTTGTAACCTATCTTTCCTTGGCAGCCTGGCAACAGCATTCCAAAGAAGACTTTTTTGCCTTGTTCAAGTTTACTAGGAAGCATCTTCCCAGCTTCAGAGACGGCCATATAGAAAGACACACACCACTCTCCTCGGGATGGAAGTACAGAAGCTTCCAGATACCAAGTAAATAGGATTACAGGTACCACAACTGTCACAGCCTGATGGCAGTTTTATTTTTACAGTTGCTAATGTTCAGCTGTCATTAACTTCAAATTCTAAAAAACGCTGAAAAACTCCCTAAAGCCTCTGAACCAGAGAGAATGGCAGAAAAAAAAGATGAGCTGGAAGTCAAGCTTATCCTTGAAATAATTTCATTATTATAACAACTAAGAGGCATATTCCCCTACATTCCCATTAAAATAGCTTAAGAGGGTCCTGTACTCTAAAGCCAGACCACAGTAAAGCAGAGCCATGACTGCATTTTCTACTAGCCATCTACTGTGGCTTCTGGTTCCTGGCACTATTTGTGTCTTGGTGTGTGCTGGCAGAGGTCAGCACAGCGACTGTTACACAAAACACCACAGCCTATGGAGTAATCAGAGCCTCTCAAGTGTTTCTTTTTGTCTTTATACTCATTTAAACCAGTTACTTTTATGAAGCAATCTAAAGCTGGACAGATTTTATCTATAATATTTCCTGAAGTATTTGAAACAACCAACATCTCCATATATGTAAAACTCCTTATGAACAAGATGATTATCAAAGGTGTGCTGTCTGCTCAGCAGGGATTTACATCTTGCCTGCTGCTTCTGCAATAAGAAATAGAATCATTTCTTATAGAAAATGAGTCGTTTTCTATATTTAGAATATCTTTGCATCAATTTGGAAATTATTTAATACATATTTTCATTTAACCTATTTGTTTTCAAGGAAAAAAAAAAAAAAGTAGTTTTGCCTTTTTTTCTCCTAGTATGGAATAACATTTACTAGACAGATGTCCAGAGTATATTTAGCCAGGCAGAGCTGTCATCTAGGCATTCCAGGAGCTGCCTTCTCTCTTAATCCTACCATCAATACCCTCACAGACCCCACCATTATGCTCCAGTAGCACCCTTTGCACCCCTCACAGCGTAGAAGGGAACTCAGGCCCGGGAGCAGTGAGAAGGCAGGATGCGCAATGCCAGGAGATCAGGACAGCTGCTTTGGGAGAAGTGAGAGAAAAACTACTTCTCTAGACAATGCTGAACTTCTAACACCCTCTTTACAAAACACACAAGCACAGTGAGTGTTTAAAGGTTAATTTAAAGATAAATGACATGGTGTGGTATGCAAAACGTCACCACATTTCTTGTCAGAGACTTCCTGGCCAGTTATGCATTGGACACGCTGTGTACCAAATGTGACATGTCTGAGGAACGTAGGACTCACAGCACTCGTGTTGTCCATGTGGCCTGCACATGTACAGTAAATGGGATGGCTCACAAATGCTCATGCTTTTTGCATGCACAATAGTCAGTTGTCTAAAGGCCTGATGGGGCTGTAGCAGGGGCTGGTCAGCTGGCTCCAGTTCTGAAATCTGAATGTTTATGGGAAAAAATAAGACCCATTTAAGGAATCCAAGCACATGGTACTCTGGTTCAAGCAACAAAAAACCATCCTAGAACCTCACACTGCAGGGCTACATGCACAACAGAGCAAAGCTGCCACACCACCAGCAGCAGTAACTAGCAAGGCAGAGAGGAAATGAGTAATTTTGATCACTTCACAGAAATCCAGCCTTGAATCTTATTATCTAAGTCACAAAGCTCTCTGAGCAGCTCTAAGAGGAGGACCTCAGCCACATCCACCAGTGCTTAATGCTCTGTCACATGCTCAAGCCGATGTGTGCATTTTAAACACGGTCAGTCCAACCCCTGAAGTCACTGATGGACACGTTCGGGAAGCAGGGACACGCAGAGTTCAGTGAAGCGTCGCAGCACGCTACCTAAAAAAGACACAGAGCCCTGTCGGTGCGGCGGCACAGGAGCCCGGCTCTCCCGGGGAGCCGCGAATGGCGGGGGGCCCGGTGTGACAGTGTCACCCAGGGCGGACACCGGCACGGGGACCGGCGGCGGCGGCGGCGCTGCGCGGTGCCACGGCGCCCCCCGGCGGTGGAAGGCGGTGCGCGCCGGTCGGTACGGAGCTCAGCGCCCTCGCAGCCCCGATGGGCGGCACGCAGCCGCGCCGTGTCCTCAGGACTACGGGAGTCAACAATGGGGAAACCAGAGCACCGCAGAGGAGAGGAGGAGATTCCCCTGCTCAGACTCTGGTCTCACTGTAAGTTTCATCAGCCCAGAGGTTTAATGACACAGGTTTCATAAAGACACTAGAATTTTCTACACCCATTTCAAGAGAATAATTAATTATCAATTAAACGCTAAATATTGACTTTTACAAAGCTATTTTTATGGTAATTATTATTGTTACCTAAGAATGTGTTGGGCTGAGCAAACACTTTACCTGTGTCTTTATTCTTAAATACTATCTTTATTGAAGAATTAGCTGCTCTTAAACTAATCACACTATAAAATGAAAATCACCAGCAGATATAAGACACCACTAAAGAGGCTAGCACCTGGTATGAAACATCAGCTGGACTAGGAAGTTCAGCAACAGAAGCTGGCCTTATACTCCCCTCAGATAGA